TAGTTGCGAGATCGGTCACATCTACCGAACCCATACAGAGATTAATTACTGAAAATAACACATAAAATATAAAGTTTTTTCTTACGAAACGTTTGATAACTAATCGTACATTGTAAAGATTTCACATGTAAAATTTCGAAATTTTCTGATGCATAAAAGTATTTTTATCTTAAAATGAAAATTACTTTGCATTATAGATAGGCAAGATGTGAAAAGAAATAAAAAGGCATGAAAGAAACATTGCTTTACAAACCTTAAGACTTGACAAAAAAATTAGATATTTTGTGTATGAAAGCATTGTAATGTTTACTGATAATTAGCCAAATTTTGTTAACATTTGCTTCCTAATTTAAAAGTTATAGCATGAAAACTATAACAAGCACAAAATGGTTAAAAGGTCATCACAATTACTGACCCCACACTGAAAGAGTTAAAGCATATTGTGGATATTTATATATAGAGAATTAAATGAATGTTTTGGAATTTTTGGCAGAACTCACAAATATCAATGTTGTGAAGATACATGTAACTAGACTAGCTAATGAAGGATTACCATTTAATTAGATCTGTTTGTAACATGATGGATTTAATGGATGATTTTGGTTATTTCATCTGCAGTATATCATTTCATGAAGGGATTTTATGCCTAAGTTAAACTTGACGTTGGGGGGGGGGGGTGTCTTAAAACAAATAAACTTACCTCCATCAGTAGAAGAAAAAGCAGATCTGAAGGAACCCCCCATTCTAACTTCTCCATCTTTGATGTTTTCCACTTCCAACTGATGAATGGGAATTGGTTCACGATATACTTGGTATCTTGTGGCATTTATTTTAGAATTTGCTATACTGCTGTTGCTGGTCCATCTTGTGGCAGGACGAGTCAGCAAGACACCGGTGTCAAAAAGGAATACGTGAAGTTTCTAAATGAAAAAAAAAAAAAAAGAGGCAAAAGTACTCCTTTTAATCATTTATAATATTGACTTTTAACTTGTATAAAATGGAATCATTATTAATACGTTTTTAAGAAACTTACTACCAAAAGAGTATGTGATACAAAGGCACTAACAATTCTAGAAATATAATCTCATGTTATAAAACAATGACGTTTCAACAAAGGAGAAGGTTTTACAAACAAGCTGAAGATCTATAGATACTCTTTTTACTTGTGGATTATGATATATATATAATAGGTCTGGGTAAATAAATAATGAATCAGACATTTGGAGATTGTGGCAAACACTAATCATTAAATAATGAATCGGACATTTGGAGATTGTGGCAAACACTAATCATTAAATAATGAATCGGACATTTGGAGATTGTGGCAAACACTAATCATTAAATAATGAATCAGACATTTGGAGATTGTGGCAAACACTAATCATTAAATAATGAATCAGACATTTGGAGATTGTGGCAAACACTAAT